CTGAAGCCCTGGATACTGTTCTAGGGGCTCATGTGGGGGAACCTTCATTTGGTTATATCTGCTGTCTGTAAATTAAAAGTTGCCTAATATGCTGCAAGAGCATACTAGTCAGTCACAGTCTGCATCAGCATGATGTAGGACTTAGAGAGTTGGACTCAGATTTGGCAGACTCTGGTTGAAGCTGCACTCAGCCATGGAATCCTCGTTGGGTGGCCTTGGGCCTCTCACATATGCACATTAACCGACGTCACAAGGTTGCTGTGAGGATAAAGTGGAAGAAGGCAGAATGATGTAATCTGCTTTGAATTCCCAAGAAGGGGGAAAAGTGGGGTATAAATCTCATAATCTCTCCTTATATATAATTGAATAGTGGGTGCCAAAGTTCTAATTCTAAAATGCACTCCCTTAGTGTATGGCTGATGGCACTGCTCCTCAGCATATATCGCCACCAATCAGAAGGCAAAGCCCGGGTCCTGCCCACACCACAACTGCTGCGACAACCTGGTCTTTTGCATATGGAAGCTGATTGGACTTCAGTCCATTCCACACCTCAAACTCCCCCCCCCACAAGGCAGTTGGGATTTTCAGTTGCATAACATACCTCATAGGGGAGAGGAGAATGGGTAACAATGGTTACCACTCTCCAGGTGAGGGCTACAGATAACTCAAACATACAAATGCTCTTCAGGTAGCAGAGATCAGTCCCTCTGGAGAAAACAGTGGACTCTGTCATTAAACCCTGCTGAAGTCGCCACAGGAAACTGACACTGTTTGCCCAAAGCCAGAGCACTCTCCCAGAGCCTCTTTCTAGATCTCGTTGTATTTATTTCTGCAACGGGCATTATTTCTAGTAATAGTAATAAAAAGAAAGGCACTGAGCTATCTCAAGCCATTTTTTTTGTGCTTCCTGCCAGTTTAATCTGGCTCAGTAGCAGTTGTTTTAGAAAGTCTTGCTATTTACGTCAGTCTTATTTCACTTTGGGTATACAGTTTCCTGGAAGTTTAAATAACAGTTTTCCTGGAAGTGCCGCAACTAACATTTCTGTCTCTCGGTTCCAAATATGCAAATGGCTTTAAATATCTTCCATTTTAACAGCCTGAAATCCCAAAACAAAATTCTGCCTCCAAAAGTGTCTCTTTCAAAAAGAGATTCTTTTTACATATTTTCTGTCTCTCAGGGGGTGTGAGAAATGCAAGTTGGTACACGGTAGCGGCTAGAATGTTGGACTGTGTTCCTAGAGATCTGAGTTCAGATCTCATTGGCTGACTTTGGCCCAGACACTCTTTCAGCCTAACCTACCTTTCAGGATGCTGGTTAGGAGAAAAAAGGCCACCCTGAGATCCTTGGAGGAAGGGTGAGATAAAATGGGGGGGGGGAGAAAGAGAGTGTGATTCACCAACTGGAGTCATATTTCCTGCTTTTTTTTTTTTGTGGTTGGCTCAACAGCTGATATGAAGCCAGGCTGCATTCAGAAATGAGCCAGACGTTTTGGTGGATACTGTGCACAGTCATTATCCTTACCTGCATGAATTTTTGAGAACTTCTCAGTTTAAAGCGTTTCAATCCACTTGCAATTTATTATTATTATTATGATGGTGGTGGTGGTGGTGGTGATGATGATGATGTATTGCAGTTTACTTCTTACCTACAAACCAGGATTTTAAATTGTAGTTTAATCCTGGTTTACAATCACAATTTGTAAGTGAAGAAAGAAAATTATTAACATTCTTGGCTTCAGGCATCACAACAAATTTTGTGATTTATGAGGGAATGAATGAAGGCATTCAAGGACCTGAGGATTTCCAGTTCATTCTTATCACATACTAATTGTTCATGACATCTGAATGCAAGTATAAAAGAGAGAAGTTAGAATCGTTTTCTTTTGATGAATATCCTGTATCTGTTAATTTCAATTTGTATATTACATTTTCTAAAACATATATAACTATGATTAGGAAGAGGTGTATGTGCTAGAAAAAATTGAGAAGGAATCTGTATTCTGCGAGAATGGGATTATTGTGCTCCTAGAATCCATCCTACTAAATCAGTGATACTCAGTGGCTTGGGAACCATGCATGGCTCTTCGACATGCCACCCGGAGCTCTTCTGTGCACTTCTCTCCAATGTGGCATCTGCCCCATGTTTCAGGGAAGTAGAGAAGGCCCTTGCCTGGGAGGCTTGTGGTTAGAAGAGGTTTCCATCTTGAAACAGCCGGTGCCAGAGAACTGTGAGCCTCCCTGAGGTGTAGTCCTCATGCCAGGGATGGAAGTAAATGTGGCTTTTTGGGGTTGATGACACTTGGCACACAAGCAGTTGCAGAAGTACCTCTTTGTAAGGCAGGGGCTGAGTACTACTGTTTTAAGTAATCTCTTCAAAGCAACTCATACCTTGGAAAAATTGAGGAATATTTGTTCCAAGGACCTTTTTTCAGTTTTTCCAACATAAAAATTGGGAAATTTGAGAAGCACCGATTAAAAAATTCTTATGATATATTTCCTTTTTTAGAATGAGTGAAATGTTTTTCAAGGCAGAGATTTTCTTACTCAAGATACAGCATTAAAATGCCTGCAGTGAGGCATCTCTGAAAAAAACCCTATTTTTTCCGTTTGGAATTAGTACATAAAAGGGTTTTACTTAAAATGTGTAGTATGAAAAATCTTATATAAGACAATCTGCAGCATTAGATAAATAGCATTAGGTAATGATAATTCTTATAAGTACTGTAGACATATACAAGATTTTCAAGAATATTTTAGTACTCAAATATCCTGATACCTGTTGTGACTGTATACTTTTGTTTTCTGCCTGCAGTCCCCCCCCCCCTTCTCTCAGATGGCAAAAATTAAGACACATGTAGTATATAGTATAGGATGTGGCAGTGTGTAACTCTTTCTCAAGTACTGGGTATGCTTGCACTTTTTCATGTAGAAAATGAATATATAAATACTTACAAATTCCATAAATATGGCAGTTTTACAATTTTATATCTATGCTGATATAAATATGCCAATAGTAAAATTTTATATGCTAACTAAATTATAGATAGTGCATTTTATGTTAATAAAGCAGTGAAGAGGTTTAGGTTTAATAAGAGACTAAATATTGGATATATTCCACTTTCCCCCAACATTTCTGGTTTTTTTCTAGGAAAATACTTTTTCCCCCTCCATGATTTCAGAATTTCCAGAAATCTTACATGTTGGGTGTTGGTGCTGGCATAATAACTCTTATAAAGCCCAGAAATATATTTTAATTTGCACTCCTCACTGTCTGCATAGAACAAGTAGTTAAACTCCCTCCCTCAAGTGAGCAGTTTGATGATACTGTATTTACTTGAAATGAAGATGCCCCCGAATGTAAGACAAAAGACCCCCCCCTTAAAAAAGGTGTATATATATATATATACACACAAAAAAATTATTACAGAACTTAAGTGTAATTTCTATGCAAATATAAGATGACTCTCGTCTTTTGATGGCATACTTGAATTTGAGTAAGTACAGTGTTGTAGTGTTACCGTCTTGATGCCACTCAGCCAATTAAGAACTGAAATTTTGAGTCCCAGCAAATAATGACATATTTTCTGGTTAGAGCGGTGAGGGAAGTTAGCTGACTGCATACAGTTGGGGCTCTATGAGTTGTTCTTCAAAAGAGGGTGAAGCTAATTGCCCCTTCCACCTGCCACCATCTTAGAACATTGAGAATGTTCTGTTTTCATATTGTTGTAATGGATGCAGAAAGGGCTCACTCTCTGTCCTGGATCCCATTTTGAGAAGCACTGATATATAGAATTGTGGTATTAGTAATTATGAGAATAAGCAGACATCTAAACATTTCCATTTTTGACTGCTAAAATCAAGTACAAATTCACTAATAAAGCCTTTATCTTTAGTGGCATACAGAAGGGATGAAATGTGGTCTGATGAGCGCTATGAATATGAAAGACTTCCACGAGAGCGACTTCCTCCACGTCCTGATGTAAGCTATTGTTTTAAATGTAAATTGTTTTGTTCACTTAGTACTACTTTGTACGTGTTTCCTAACTATTATGCTGTCTTAGATTTTATATTGCTGATTTATATTTAAGGCACCAAACTTGCAGGCAGATAGGGAGGACAAGCCCAAGATGGATTTTATAGAATGTGCCCATAAAAATCAGGGTGGAAATCTTAATGGTGCTTCAGTGGGGATTCTGTGTTTCATATTTTTGGTAATCCTATATATATAAAAGGCAAGCTGTGTTCCCGATGATTTGCCTCGCCTCCCATTGGCCACTGGGGAAGCTTCCTTGGCACCCTCTTGGCCTGCCTGCTAGCTCCTCCATTCTTACACCCCGACTTGTGACATGTTGCACCTTGGGAGTTGTAGTTCTCAGCTGGCCTTAATGCAACCATAGCAAAGGGAATTAGAACTACAGTTCCCAAGTTGGGAGTCCCAAGAGGCTGTGGGGTATTAGCTGGCTTGTGTGTACGCACAGCCTGTTTACTTGGGAGTAAGAAAGGGAGATGCACTACAGCACCCACTCAGTGGCGTCTCGGGCAGGCACCTAAGAAAGGAGGGAAGGGTTTGTTTGTTTTTTCCGCACTGTTTTCAGCCTGTTTTCAGCCTCCTGTGGGCTGACAAGCGAGGAGGAGACCTTAGACACACTTTGGAGGGGAAAAACCTGCTTATTTTATGCATGCTTAGTTAGTTTGAAGGGGGATATTGGGACGAGGAGGTAGCTGCCAAAATTTGTGATTAAAGGAGGAGATTGGAGTGGGGGCACAGCAAAATCAATAAAGGGCATTGCAAAATCGATAGGGGGTGCTGCTTTGTGCTGCCCCCACCCTGGCTATGGCCCTGCCAAAAGTGGAGGCTCCTGGATGGAGTTTTGCTGGCCTTTGGCTGCGCCCAGGACTCGCCTGCAATGCCTGAAGTTGCCTTTTCCTCAGTCAATGATAGCTGAGGCAGGTGTTGTAGAGGCAGCAAGAGTGGGAGAGTGAATGCCAAGGTTTGGGGTGGGTGGGAAGACAACAAGGGTGGGAGAGTAGTGGAGTGCCAAGGGTGTGGGGGCAGTTGAGAGGAAGCAGGAAGGAAGTTGAGATAAAGGGAATTGCTTCCTTCCTTCTTCCTCTATCAATTTTCCCACTCTTTCTCCCCTTTCTACCCCCATATCTTTTGTCCCACATTCCTTCTCTGTCAATTTATCCCCCTTCTCTTATAACTTACCCCCTTCTCTTATAACGTATCCCCCATTTCCCCCTTTCTCCCATTCCCTTCCCAACAGCCACCTTCTAAACATGCCTTGCCTCCCTCTGTCTTTCCCTTCCCTTCCCAGCCCCAACCCCCACAAGGCCGGGGCACTCACCCAGAACCTCGAGTTCGCTTACCGTCGCAACTGTGGCGGGGAGATTGCGGCGGGGGGACAAGACTTTATCTGCAAAATAGCTTGCAAAAGCCTCACAACCAATATACAATTCCCTAGCATTTGGTCTGCCCTGTGGCAGATCTGTTAACGACCGAATGGTTCTAAACAATCGTGCTGGGTGTGAGCTAGCAGATGCAACTGTGGCCGTGTAGAACTCTCTTTTCGCAGCCTTGACTGCTATCTCATAGGATCTCATAAACGTCCTATAAGATGCTCTTGTTGCTTTGTTGTGGGCATGCCGCCACCATCTCTCTAGTCGTCTGAGCTCTCGTTTAATCAGTCGTAGCTCCTGGGTAAACCAAGGAGCCTGCTTAGAGCGAGGGCGCAGAGGGAGTTGGGGAGCGATCTCGTTGATGGCTGCCAAGAGTCGGTCATGCCAATCCTCGACTAGCTCATCCAATGAGCTGCCAGGGGGCATAGGTTCCTGCAGGGCCATCTGAAGCCGCTGTGGGTCCATTTGGCTCTGTGGGCGAGCTAAAATATGCTCACTGCCCAAACAAGGTTGGGGTGCAACGTTCATGCGGGCCTCCAGGGCATGGTGGTCCAACCATGGTACTGTCATAGTAGTAATCCGGTCCACTGAGACCCCCGCCGCGAAGATCAGATCAAGCATGTGACTGGCTCGGTGAGTGGGGGCCGTTACATATTGGGAGAGTCCTTGTGCCGCCATGGACAATACCAGATCCACCGCCTGTGAAGAGGCTGCATCGTCAGCTTGGACATTGAAGTCACCCAGGACTATCAGTCTAGGGTACTCCAATGCCCAGCCCGACACAGCCTCTACCAGGGATGACAGGCTATCAAGCCAGTGCATTGGGCAGACGGTAAATTAACCAGGTCACCAAACTCCCCGGCTTCCCACACAAAGCCGGCACACTCTATGTCTGTGAGCCTCAGCGATGGGCCTTATTCCCACAACGGGCCTTATTCCTAGTTTGTTATATAATGGCTACCTTAGTAGCCTAAAGTGGAAAATAGTTGGGGTTTTTTGCAGTAATTTAAACTGATGTGAAATAACTTATGTACTGTGCTTCTCTGTACCTTCTGTAGAAACTAAGAGTGATCAGGTGCATAATCTGTTTAAACTTCACAAATCTGCATTGTGGAAAAATCCATTCTTTTTTCACAAATATTTTTTGGCCTTTGTTAGGCTTTTAGCTGTGTATCCAGTATAGCTTTCAGCTCTTTCAGCTGGTTCTCTCAACCAGTTCTTTCTCCTTTGGTTTTGTTTTCCGTATATCTTCCCATTACATCCCATAGGAAAGGTGTGCATCTGCAGTTTGTTTAGTGAAAGGAGCATAATCTTTACAGAATTTAGGCATGATGTGGTTTTAACTTTTTCTTTGTAATCATGTTTCTTACAATGTGTTGGAGAGTTCAAATTCCTGCTTTTTAAACATTGCGTTAAAAACCAGACTCGCAGCCCAAACTTGTGCATCTTTATTCAGAAATTAACTCCATTGAGTTCACTAATCTCAAGTAACTGCAAAAGACTGCAACATATAAGGATAATCTTTTAAAAAAATATTATTTTATTCATTTTTGGAAAACAAAGAGATAATAAAAAGAAAATGCAGAAAAGAAAAAATGATTACATATCATAATTGTATATATCAAAAGGTGATTATATATAACAAAATATATAAAATAGAAAATATTTCTCCCCATCACCCCCTTCATTACACTGAAAGGTTTTTGGGTCACTGTTTACAAAATACTATAAAAATTACTTATCTTGGAATATATTTATATTCAACATTTTACATTTCAGATTCCTTAACTAATCTTTTTTTCAACTGAATTATTTATTTCACCGTTGCTGTATACTCAGTACTGCATAATTTCGCCATTTCTGTGTATTCGCTGTTACTTTTGGCAAATAGATTATAACAAAAATACAGAAGGGAGGACTATTGTATATCTTATAGTAGAAAATAAAGAAATGTTACTTTTCAAAATCCACTTCCTTACACACATTTTTATTCAACATGGAACATTTAGAACTGATTTTTGTTCTGCTTCTTCATTGCAATACAACTGCATACAGTATTTTAGACTACTTATTCCAGGGGTGTTAAACATGTGGCCCACAGGCCAGATGTGGCCCACACAGGGCTCAAAACCAGCCCCCAAGCAGCTTCCTTTTTCCTGCTTCCTTTCCCAGGGCTGCTGCTGCAGCTACATCTAGCTTGCTTTTTCCTCTTTGCTTCCTGCCTCTTGCCTCCCTCCCCCCTTGCTCCCTCTCACGCACGCACATACATGCACATGCACACACAGGGGTAGAGAGCCTCGTGGCTGCTTCATGCTGGAGAGATACAAAAACAAGCCTCCCTCCCCCTCTTCCTTGCTTCCTTGTTCTCTCTCCCTCACACAGATAGAGAGAGCCTCGTGGCTGCTTTGCCAGAGAGATAAAAAGACAAGCCTGTCTTCCTTTCTCTGACACTCACTCACACAGAGAGAGATTGCTTCTGCTTTCTTCTCTGGGGCTGCTCCTCCTTTTTTGGGGGAGGGAGGGAGGAGGAGGAAAGAGACAGAAAACAAAATTGGAGTTCCAGCTTCAAGACCAACAATGTTTTATTCCAGGTGTAAGCTTTTGTGTACAAGCACACTTCTTTGGAGGGTGGGTGGATGGATGGAGTCTTCTGACAAGCACATTGTACATTGAGGAAATTATTTTGTCTTATTCTGAAAAGTTTTTTTAAATTTAAATAATTGGATTTCTCTGTCCTATCTGGATTTATTTTCTTTCAAAAAGACCCTGATTGGTCCTTATATCTTGGAGAGGAGTGATTTCAGATGCGAAATGATATTGGTAATGAGACAGGAAAAATGATCTCTCTCTCTCTCTCTCTCTCTCTCTCTCTCTCTCTCTCTCTCGTCCAGGAGGATGTAATTCAGCAGTCTCTCTAATCTTCCTTTGAAATTCCTTTGTAGGAGCATTGCTACTCTTAGGTCAGCAATTGAATGTTGCGGTTTCTAATGTCAGACTTATGTCCATTTATTCTTTGCATCCTCCTGGGCTGAATCCTCCTGGATGGAGCTGAGACCTAGGTTTCCTGCCTCATAATCAATGCTGTTCTCTCCTGAGCAAGAGGAAGGAAGTAACAAGGAACAGGTGGGTGAGTGAAAGAATGTGACCTTGAGGAGTAAGATAATCAGGAAACACAGCCAGTGGAGCTGCAAAATCGATACCGGCCGCTTCTGATGATGGAAGTTCAAAATAGCACACTCCGAGATCAAAAGGATGTGACTGACACACAAGCACATAGGCAGAGAAGGAACCAAGCTATCCCATGGAGGAAGAGATGAGTAGTGGTGGTTGGTGACTCCCTACTGAGAGGGACAAAAGAAGGTGTATGCAGACTGGACAAGGAATCTCGAGAGGTTTGTTGTCTTTCTGGACCATGTATCCGAGATGTGACTGAGAGAATTCCAAGACTGGTCAAGACCTCTGATCGCTACCCGCTCCTGCTGATCCATGTGGGAACAAACAATACAGCCCGAAGAAACCTTGAATGAATCTCCAAAGACTACGAGGCTCTGGGCAAGAAGG